GATCAGACTTAAACGTATTGGTCGCCAACGTTGAACGTCGGCTGATCGCGTTGGTTTGATTAAACCTTAAATAACCTGATGAACGACACTATTTTTACGAGAGTTTTTCAATGAAACTGGAAATTTTGGAGTAGTTTATTTGTAACCAATAAATTCAGACGTCATGTTGCCACGACAATGTGTGGTTATTGCATTACACAATGTTTCCATGCAATATTGCCAAGAAGTTTAGCTTGATTACTTGTACGGAACTAAGCTCTTAAATGTTTGGTTCAAAAATTATATTTTATGTGTTATTTTAAGTGTTGCTTAAGACTTCTGGAAAATATTAATTTACATTCTAAAAATAATTTTTTGTCATACCTTTAACTACTTTATAAGCTTTTATATTTAGAAAGCTACCAAGTTATGATAAGCAATTATTTCGTTAGCAAGAATATTCGTCGGCCGTTTGGTGTAGTGGTTCAGAACGTGCTACTATGCCAAGAGGTCCCGGGTTCGATTCCCGGCCGGGCAGAAATTGAAATGATGAATTTTAATTTCTGTGACGGGTCTGGGTGTTACTATGTATAATATGTATGTATTTAAAAAAAAAAGTATATAAGTAGTATATCCGTTAAGCTAGCACCCATAACACAAGCATTAAGTTGCTTACTTTGGGGCTAGCTGGCGATGTGTGAAATTGTCTAAAGATTTATTATTATTATTATGTTCAGCAGTGGACGTCCTAGGGCTGAGATGATGAAGAATATTTAATTTTTTTTAAAAACATTTCAAATTCTTGTTTATTATTCTCTCTTTACTTCAATTAATTTCGAATTCATTTATATAAAATTGATAGTCACAATGGGGCACTTGAGTTACCTCTCGTGTAATCAAGACCCTCTCAATGCCAAGTTACGTAATGCCATTAAATTAAAGATCTGCGTTATCATTCTACCTTCTGTTGTCTTAAGTGCTAACCTTATTCAGAGATCTTAGAAAACTAATGTAATCAAATTGTTTGAAATGTAAGGGCGTTAGTGTTTTGTTTTAATATTATTGTTGATTCATTTGGTTACTGAAACTTCATCATCATCATCATTTCAGCCACAGGACGGCCACTGCTGAACATAGGCCTCCCCCAATGATTTCCATATCGCCCGGTTGGTAACGGCCTGCATCCAGCGCCTTTCTGCTACCTTTATGAGGTCGTCTGTCAATCTTGCGGGATTGAAACTTGTCATTGAATTAAAAGATATCCTACTTCTTATCTCTACTAAAATTACAACGTAGTTTGTGTGTTTGTTTGTTACTCTACTATCTTTTATGTTTAAACCATTGCTGCATTGAACTGATTTAGATGTTCATAGAAGGTTTTAGAAGGAAGACACGTGCGCTATAATGACTTGCTGTCATCATCATCATCATCATTTCAGCCACAGGACGTCCACTGCTGAACATAGGCCTCCCCCAATGACTTCCACATCGCACGGTTGGTAGCGGACTGCAACCAGCGCCTTCCTGCTACCTTTATGACTTGCTGTGACAGACCGGAATTCACGCGGGTGAATTGTTAATATTGTGAATATGCGGGAAAAAGTTATAGGTCTTAATTCAGTAGTGCCTGAGGTATGGGAGAATCACGGGAGGGTGTTTTTGTAACGTCAAACGTCAGCGAGACTTCAGATCTTCTTCTGATTTACATGCTTCGTCACGTTATAATAAGTCTACACATCACCCCTCCCATACCTTATGAGTTTAGCGCTAGACCCACTATAAGCAGTACAAACTATAGTAGGTACGAGTATATCAAACAACTGTTACTAAAAATACAACTTCGTATAAAAATATTTCAGCTGCAAATGAGGAAAAACTTGGAGGCATTGATTTCAAGCATCTGCCTCGTACTTTTGTAACAGGCAAATATTTCATTCTTTGACCTATTTTTAGCCACGACTGTGGGAAAGTTTGTACTGACCGTCTCGAAATAATAAGAGGTGAAAAGAATTTCTTTCAATTAATTTGAGCTCAGTTATATCGGGAGTCATATCGCGGTAGTAAAATACAGTTAACTTTATGTTTTTTAAAAGATGTCAAAAAGATCTTTCACATATAATTTGTGCAACCAAGTTCTTAAGACATGACTTTTTAGCCAATTTTTTGGTTTCAAAGAAACTAAAATTACTATTTAACACTTAATTGATTATTCATTCAGGTTTTCAGGGCTTGATTAATGGTGTGTGTTAAAATATAAATACACGGTGGTAAAGATACTACGAGTTAACAATTCAAACTTACCAAAAGATAGAGTCATTGTCTCAATTGGTAATAAGTATGTTTTGGTACATAGCACTTTCCTAACATCCTTTAATCGCAATCAATCTCACACCTCATATAGGCGATGGCACGTCAAGCTAACACTTTATGCCATCGTAATAGGTGCGATTTTACATCAAATACGAACAGCTTGATGTGCTGTCACGACGGTAAACTCTACGATAATCTTAGCGGGCGTCGCTACCGTCGCCGCGCTAATCGCATCGGCGGCAGACGTTAACTTAATCAGATAATGGATCGGGAATCGGTCCCCGGGTTGAACCGGGTTGAACCCGTAGGGTTATCAGGAAATGGGTTATTTTGGGATGTTGTAGCCGAAAATGCGGTAGATTTCGCGAGATATTGTCAAGTAGAACTTATAATATTTATAGTTAGCTTAGCTATTTATCATTGTAGATCTCTACCATTTTTTCTTTCATTTGGTATCCAAGATATCCTTTGATTTTGGATTTTCGTACGTTGGTAGACTGCTCAAAACAAGAGCGAAAACGTGAAAATATGAAAAAAATCTAAACCTTCACTCGTTGAAATTTCCATCTGCATTTTTCTGCAGCATAATAAAACAAATGAGTTATGAATGGAAGGAAAATAATGTCAAGCGGTTTATTCGAGATCTTTTTTTATTCTCTTACTCGTGGCAACCATTAAAAAAGCAAAGGCATAAAAACCTGACCCCGTATGAATTTAAAGTACCTACCTAAGCTTGGACTAAAAAAGTTGTGTGATTGTTGAGACTTTTGTTTTTTTTAGGATTTTACTATTTTCGGTCTGGTAACCCTGGAACGGGTTTCGGCGGGATTTTCCCGTAATCTCGGGTTAACACGGGTCCCAATGGGTTGAGTGGTGAAATGTAATTTACGGTTGAATTAATCTTTCACTATTGTTTAAGTGTATTTTTTCCATTCTACTTTCTCGCTGTTATAAGTAAGAGAAAGTCGGTCAATCGGAAACTGTTTTTAATCGAGATTGTATTTCTTTCTTCGAAACCTTCTTGAACCTATTTGCCTGTTTCTATCATTTTCATTCAATAACTTGTAAAAGGTTTATCAGCCATGATTAGCACATTTCATATTATGAGACAATCAATTACATACGTACTTATTGACATTATGGTTATTGCAACTCATTTGAGCACAAGTTTTTTATGCAGCACCTACTAACTAAGCTTGGCATCTTCATTTGCTCGTACACTTTCAAAGAGCATTTGTTTATTTAAGTCCAGCCTACATTCTATACTAATATTATAAATGCGAAAGTAACTCTATCTGTGTCGCTTTCACGCCTAAACCACTGAAACGATTTTGATGAAAGGCATAGAGATAGTTTGAGTCCCGGGAAAGGACGTAGGATAGTTTTTATCCCGGTTTTTGAAACAGGGATGTGCACGATTACGTTTTTCTGTCACAGACAAAATTCAACGCAAGCGAAGCCGCGAGCTCAAAGCTAGTCAATCATAAAACGATAAACATGCGGGCATAGCAAAAAGATAAGGAGACATGTAAAGTGTCCCTTAAGGCTTGGTATTTCTTCTAAAGTAGGTATTTCGCGCTGTCAAAATCTGCGCGCGCAATTCTTCGCCGAAAACAGCGCGTCAAAGAGCTCCCGCCACAATTTCCAGCTACACAGTATAGAAATACGCAGTTGGTTAGGTTAGGTTGACTTCCTTCCTTTCAAGCGTCACACTCACAACACTTTCTAATNATTAAATGACTTAGGGACTACACATCAAACAGAGAATGGGCAGCAGCGCTCTCTGAAAAACATCAATCTTTTAAACTGCGATCTCCAACCCGCCTGCCAAGCGTGGAGATTATGGCAAAACCCTCCACTATAGTGGAGGAGGCTCATAGTCCAGCAGTGGACTGTAAAGGGCTGTTGATGATGATGAAATGCCCTTCAACCGTCAGGAAGACCACTTTTCGATAGGGAAGTCCTTTACGCGGTATAACCGGAAAACCGAAAAAGCGCCCCTTTCCGGGGCCCCCACCACTTAAGCACAACTCCGTCGAAGTCGAAAACCTAGGAGAGTCTTAATGGGCAACCAATGAAGCCGTTAAAGCAAGTAAATCTTTTGTTTGAATTATTTCCGATTTAATCAATTTTTGTGTTTAATTCTACTGGCCTATAGTGCCTATCTCATATCTGTATTAATATGATAGAAGACCCAGTTATCCAAGAACTGATAGTTCTTGAATAAGTGGATATTTTATGGTACTTATGGTGGCCTGGTGTTTTGTGTACTTCAACGCAAACTGCATTTTTAGGGTTAAGTCTTGCACTAATAAGCATTTATACCCCAAAATAATGTATGCATGTTCTTTCTTCTGTCTATTGTTAGGGCTGTATCAATTTTCATCCCAGAAGTGATAAGCCACCATAGTATTTTACGCATTAATTTTCCTTTTTTCTCTGATAGCCTTTTGGCTCTCTAGTAATTTTTTTCAGGGATGATAAGCTACAATAGCATATTTTAAGCATTGATTTATTTTTATCTCCGGTTGCATTTTGTGTTATCAAGTAAAGGACAATGNTTCAGAAATTTTGATATCGCAGCGAAATGCGAATAGGTGAAAAGCTACAAGGATTTTTTGATTTCGAGGTATACGACTAACAAACGCAAAATTGAATTATATTTTTTTGATATAGGTACTTAAAATCTCACCCACGCATCTTTGTTCCAGTCGTCCCGCATCGGCAACGCGAGCGGGGATGCGTGCGAGCGCCGGGACCCGTGCCAGCACGGCGGCGTCTGCATCAGCACCGACGACGGACCCATCTGCGAGTGCCGCGACGGGGACTATGAGGGCGCCTTCTGTGAACGAGGTAGGTGAAACTAGCGGCGTAAGGGGGGGGGGGGTCCGCCCCGGGTGCCAAGCCTCAGGGGGTGACACAAGTCGCGCAGATTAATACTGATTACAAGTCTGCGGTCTATTTCATGATATGGGTCGATTGTCTTTCAATCTTCGAGTCAGTAGGTAATCCCAAAATCCTGGGGGGTAGGGGGTGCCTTAGGACTTATGACGGGGGGGAGGGGGCATGCTACGCTGCCACTAAGTTAACTAATAGACCGAATCAAGACGTAATTAGTTCACTGCACAAGGAATCACCACTGAGTCCACCATGGTCCAGTGTACTCGCGACGCCTCTAACCGTCAGAAATGGAAGCACATCGCCTGGAGAGCTACCCTCGGAGATGACATCATCCCACCATGTACCTCATCAGCGCAACCACGACCACTCTGACAAGAGTGCCCGACTAAGAAGAACAAGGAATCAACGCAAGCTTCTTGTATAAGTTAGGCATCGGCAACGCCAGATCTCTAGATCAATTTCGCCCTATTTTCAGACAAAAGCAGTGTTTAAACATTGTGACAAAAGAGTAATATAGGTACTCCGTAAGGTTGTGTACTTGGTAGAAGTTAAAACATGATGCGTTAGATAGGAAGTATTAGTATTTCATACCATCATTTTCATAATAACAGCCTAAACGGAACTGAATAATGAACATTGGCCAGTGGAATCAAAATTGTGTTCGCCTTTTGTTTTGAATTTATTCCCGGTGCCATTAGAATTACTTAATCCATAAAGATTATGAGTTAGCTGGTAATGCACCACCTGTATTTCTTTCGACGATACGCTTCACAATATGTGAGCAATCACGAAATTGGAGACACACCAAGTATAATGTAAAGCTCTGGAAACTTAATACTCCATTACTGCATACCACCAACAAATAACAACAACATAAATCATGACGTACGTGGGCTCCCAGACGTTCAAACTTCAGAAAACAATAGACAACCAAAACAGACGGGCATAAAGAATTGAAGTTTTGCGTTATTATTTTAAGTGCTCTATGCACAAAAAAGTGAATTGATATTGCATTTTATACGTATTTTCAGAACACTAAAATATTTTTACAAAATATAATTTGAAACTATGCGAGAAACAGCAAAGTAAGTCTTTAATAATCCCACTGCATACATAGGTCTGATCCCAACTGTGGGATGGGTCAGGTGGGCTAAGGCAAGTGGCCAACTTGACTGTGAGATTATCAAACCTTTTAAACTAAATTAATGAAGCAGATGTTATTAAAATGGATCAGGTTTTGCTTTCAAATAAACATCGGCACCTGACTGCAACTTTGTGTAAATATACTGTTATAGTTATTCAGTTCAAAATTACTTTTTCCATGAAAAACGTGATAAAAATTATAAATTCAAATTCAGTAGACGGGGTTGCGGCTTTTGCACCCTTGCCCTCGACTTGTCCACATAAAGATTTCATTGGAATCGTCTTTAAAATGACTACATGATACAGTTGGGTCTTTTGTCCATTCAGATAGCGGCAAGGTTTACAAGGTCTCTGAAGCACGCGAATGTCTTTTTAGAAGGCAAAAAGTCGCGACTAAAATAACGAAGTTAGAATCGCAGGTTATTGCTCCTTTGCCTGAAGTGAATGGTTTAAATTGAACTCGAGAATTTTTATTTTACAATACACATATTCCAGATGTATAACATGAAAAGAATTATATTTTATTATGAATTTTTTTTTGACATTGTATTTTATTTGCATATGAAATGAATACTGCGAGAGAGTGTAGGGTTTTAATCTGATTGTTTTTTTAATGTCATTGAATTTATATTATCTTTTTACTTTTACCACTTTAAACTTATTTGCCTTGGTTTTAGACTTTACAAATCGCCATACAAATATTTATATTTGCCAATATAATTAAAGCCACATATTTGTATTTATAACTTTTGCCGTAAATTATGATAATTGTATTGCAAAGTTTAGTTAATTAAGTATGTTAAGGAGGCTTAAGCCATGCCCTAAATCAACACGTTGATCATTACCATGGCCACGTGTGGAAGGTATGTGTGTTCCATCACTAATTTGTATTCTGGCCCTCGATCCCACGGGATCCTGTAATTAGCGACTCGTTATTCGTTGAAGTTAGGCAGTACAAGGTAATTCCCATGCTTATTCGAATGGGAGATGCGTTGGCGGGAAAAAGTTTTCAGCTGTCATTTGCATGATTAATGTTATCGTTATTCATGATTGAAAACTAAAGGAATAAAATTATGTTTTTATTACTCTTTATACATGTAACATAACATTTGAAAGAGAAATCTAATCTACGAGTAAATAACTTGTAACGAATACGATATTGAACAAAACTAGTATTTTTTGTTATCTACTATTTTTTTCCGGTTATTGGCTTTGCACAGCTTGTGCATTGCCGTATCTCTCGTTATTTGATTCCTTTGCAAGTCAAAATGGCCGCGAGCAGTTGGCGGGAAAACTTTGACAGCAGCTGTCATTTGTGATGCGCCGGTGATTGAGGCAAGATTGACCGGCGGTGTTATTTGTGTGGGCGGGATATTTTGGACAACTTTTCTATTGTATTTGATATGAAACTTTTGTTCTTGTTGGATTATTTTTGGGAGATTGGTTTGGTCATATCATGTAAGGTATGAATGTTGTTGCTTGTAAATACTTACTTATTGTAGAGTTTTATACTCAGTTAAAACTAATCATTCTGCCCAATATCTCGCCTAAATTATATTTGTCAAGTATAAGTCAATAAGAATTTAGTAACAAGAACATAGATAAATCTGCTTTGTTCTGCATAAAAAAAAAGATGTGTCCATAAATGAAGGTCGATTGTTCGAAGGTAATAAAAATTCTTAGGCTGAGTTGCACCATCTTACTTTAACTTTGACAAATGTCAAAAATCTGTCAAACTCCATACAAAACACAGCGGTTAACGATAATTAAAGTTAGGTGGTTAAACTCGGCCTTCAAAAATGGGCTTACCGTTTAGTCTGCCAATAAACACCAATCTATTAACTTTAGTTGACGTGGTAGAAGAAGCACTGCACCAAAAGTGAGGAGTNCATAAAATACACAAAAAATGCCAAAAAATAATAAAAAATGATACTTTTTGAAAAAAATCTGCTTAAAAATTCGTGTTTTTTTGGTTATTTTATAAATTTCTCCAAAAAATGCCCCTATAACCGGTGGTTTTTATTACTTTGTATTATTTTCTATCGTATTATCTTTGTAAAACCAAAAATCGCATGTCTCTATCCCTATCACAACATTTGCATTTTTTTTGTATTTTATGTATTTTTTTAGTATCGCCTGTTATTTAGCATTATTACTGTTTTTATTTTATCAGGATAAAACGCTTAGTTTAAAAGTTATTACGTTTTCTTTACAATAAGTAATTTGAAGAAAAAAAATTCTATAAAAAATTAAAAAAAAATCTCAAAAAATTTTTGACCTCTTTTTTGTCGATAAAAATAGGTCTAGTTTCATCTATTTTCATATGTACACTTTAACGTGACTCACACTGTATTCCTGTGAACTAAATTATATTGCTTGTGGGTTCACCAAAATAAAGGGGATCGTACCAGCGTTCCTCAAAATTCCAATCGTCGTCAGTTTGTCCCCGATACTGTTAAGTTATTGTCGCCTCTTATACTTAAAATCTCACCCATGCCTCCTGAGTCTCTTATTATGTATATTAAATCTCACCCACGCATCTTTGTTCCAGTCGTCCCGCATCGGCAACGCGAGCGGGGATGCGTGCGAGCGCCGGGACCCGTGCCAGCACGGCGGCGTCTGCATCAGCACCGACGACGGACCCATCTGCGAGTGCCGGGACGGGGACTATGAGGGCGCCTTCTGCGAACGAGGTAGGTAAAGACCGCCCCGGGTGCCAAGCCTCAGGGGGTGACACAAGTCGCGCAGATTAGTACTGATTACAAGTCTGCGGTCTATTTCATGATACGGGGGGAGCTCATTTATTGAAATTATGCGAGAAACAGCAAAGTCTTTAATAATCCCACTGCATACATAGGTCAGATACCAACTGTGGGATGGCTCAGGTGGGCTAAGGCAAGTGGCTAACTTTACTGTGAGATGTTATCAAACTTCTTTAATTAAATAAGCTCGCTTCCACCTTCAGCTTCGGCCTGATATTCACTAATCTACCGTCAGGTGAGATACAGGCCAAGAGCTTCCTCGTTGTGGATTAAAAAAAGATGTAATTTTAAATGATCAGGTTTTGCTTTCAAATAAACAACGGCATCTGACTGCAACTTTGTGTAAATAAATACTGTTATCGTTACTAAGTTCTAAATGACTTTTTCCATGAAAAACGTGATAAAAATTATAAATTCAAATTCAGTAGACGGGGTTGCGGCTTTTGCACCCTTGCCCTCGACTTGTCCACATAAAGATTTCATTGGAATCGTCTTTAAAATGATTACATGATACAGTCGGGTCTTGTCCATTCAGATAGCGGTAAGGTTCTGGTCAGGTCTCTGAAGCACGCGAATGTCTTTTCAGAAGGCAAAAAGTCGCGACTAAAATAACGAAGTCAGAATCGCAGGTTATTGCTCCTTTCACTAAAGTGAATGGTTTAAATTGAACTCGAGAATTTTTATTTTACAATACAGAATACCAGCATTCATGTTCTGAATGGAACATGATACAAGCTGAGTAGGAGCCATTTTGGTTCAATAAATTATGTATGTAATTTAAATTGTGTAAAACGTCTGTTTGAACCAAATAAACCATTTTTCTTTCTTTCTTTCTACACATATTCCAGTAATTTCCAGTATAGAATGAAAAGAATAATATTTTATCATGGAATTTTTATTGATATTATATTTGCATATGAAATGAATACAGCGAGTGAGTGTAGGGTTTTAATCTCATTGTTTTTTTTAATGTCATTGAAATTATATTATCTTTTTACTAGCACTTTAAACTTATTTGCCCTGGTAGACTTTACAAATCGCCATACCAATATTTATAATTATGTAGTTTCATTTTTGTATTTATTACTTTTGTCGTATAAAATTATGATTTGTATTGCAATTAGCAAAGTTTAGTTAATTAAGTATGTTAAGGAGGCTTAAGCCATGCCCTAAATCAACACGTTGATCATTACCATGGCCACGTGTGGAAGGTATGTGTGTTCCATCACTAATTTGTATTCTGGCCCTCGATCCCACGGGATCCTGTAATTAGCGACTCGTTATTTGTTGAAGTTAGGCAGTACGAGGTAATTCCCATGCCTACTCGAATGGGTGATGCGTTGGCGGGAAAAAGTTTAGCTGTCATTTGCATGATTAATGTCATCGTTAATCATGATTGAGGTGAAAATATAGGTAAAGTTTAATTATTATGGGCTGATTTTTCAATCGTCAGATAATCTTTTAACTGAAGAATAAACTTGTCATTTTGACACATTTACTATACTAAAACTGTCAATGTGCCAAACTTATTCTTCAAAATATCCGACGGTTGAAAAATCAGCCCAAAGCTAAGTTAAACTAAAGGAATAAAATAATGTTTTTATTACTTTTTATACATGTAACATAACATTTGAAACAGAAACCTAATCTTAATAACTTTGTAACGAATACGTTATTGAACAAAACTAGTATTTGTTATCTTCGTTAGTTTTTAATTATGGCTTTGCACGGCTTGTGCATTGCCATCTACTCGTTATTTGATTCCTTTGCGAGTCAAAATGGCCGCGAGCAGTTGGCGGGAAAACTTTGACAGCAGCTGTCATTTGTGATGCGCCGGTGATTGAGGCAAGATTGATCGGCGGTGTTATTTGTGCGGGCGGGATATTTTGGACAACTTTTCTATTGTATTTGATATGAAACTTTTGTTCTTATCGGATTATTTTTGGGAGATTGGTTTAGTCATATTACGCAAGATATGAATGTTTTTGCTTGTAAATATTGTAGAGTTTTATACTGAACTAAAACTAATCATACTACCCAATATCTCGCCTTAATTATCTAATATATATTTGTCAAGTTTATAAGAATTTAGTAACAAGAACATAGATAAATATTTTCTTTGATCTGCATAAAAAAATGTGTCCATAAATGTAGGTCGATTGTCTCGAATGTAATAAAAAGTCTTAGGCTTTAGGTTGCACCATCTTACTTTGAATTTAAAAAACGTCAGAAATCTGTCAAACTTCATACAAAACACACCGGTTAACGATAAATTTAAACTTAAGTGGTTTAACTCAGCCTTAGAAAATTGGCTTACTGTTTTGTCTGCCAATAAACACCCATCTATTAACTTTAGTGGTAGAAAGCACTGCACCAAAAGTGAGGAGTCACTCGAATAGATCACACAACATCATGCTCCCTTTCAAAAGTTGGTAGTTTACATTCCGGGACAACCTAACCTCTGAAAGTTTGGCTCCATCAAATACTTCAACAAAAGTATGTTATAATGTCGCATCTCACTCTGACTCCCGCAGTTCGAACGGAAGCAGACGTTCTCAACTTTCGGCAAACACGGCGCTATTAATTATAAGTCGACGGATTGCGCGGGTTGGCCTCCCCTGCCCAGGGCTGTCAATTAATCACATATGAAACGGGCTGTAATTCGTTCGGAAGTTTGGAAATGCGGCGTCTGGAGCTTCAAAAGTAATAATTTTGTCGATCGGGAAAAGTTGCGATATTTGTTCTGAAAGAAGTTGAATTCGTTCCTAAAGCATTGATTTCGTTCTTTAAGTTACAAATAAATTAATGAAATATTGTTGTTGTGGGTAAAAAAAAATAGTTCACTAAAAAAATACTACACTTTAATCATTAACTTTGAAAATAATATTAAGAAAGTTCCTCTGGCAAAAAATACAATTATTCACGGTAATTTTATCCAACTGCGTAACTTAATAAAATAACCTCATTAAAATACAAGAAACGTTAGTTATTTAAGAAAACTTAGGTTTGCTAGTTCTAGGAAGAAAATTCGATTTGTAATTATATTTCTAGAGATTCCAAAACCAACTGTGCCATGCTTGGATATTCCGCAGAAGTTTGAAATTTACCTGCTTCTCTGTAGCTCGGATACACGTGTTTTATCACATGCTGAGATTAATATCCTTCTTCTCACGAACGTGGCAACCCTGAGCGTAGACGGATGTTCCGCGGAAGTTCGCATGTTCCGCTTTATATGTTCCGCGTATATGTTCCGCATTTGCTGTAGCTTACACGTCGTGCGGTCGCGACACGACATTATCTGTTTTTAATTACGCTGCTTTCTCGTTGTTTACACTTTTCCTTCTTGTGAGCGGGACAAAGAAGCCGGTACCTGTGTGCTCTATACGAGGAAATTGAAATAGGTTTATTTAGTTTTGTTACCGACGTATACTCACATGCAGTTTTTATTATTTATTAGTGCCTATCTGCTCCTATCTCTATTAATATGATAGAAGACCCAGTTATCCACGAACTACTCGTGTCGTGTTTTTAAGCGATTTTGTAAAAACTATTATTGGCAGGTAGTTGCTAATTGCTCATAAGATAGGCCCCCTTAATTGATATTTATTGTCCGTGGTGCATAATATTTTCTTAGTATTTAAACCTTTGTTTGTCCCGTCATCCGCTTTGCAATGGAGGGAAGTCGAACCTTAATTTCGAACTCCTCCTATGTTCTTCTGATTAATATCGTTGCGGGTCCAATGACAGTATAGTTCTTGGATAACTGGATACTTTATGGCACTTATGGTGGCCTGGTAATTTGTCAACTGCAATGTAAGTTGCATTTGTGGGGTTGAGTCTACACTAAAAAGTATTTATACCCGAGGTTGTGAATACCTGTTCTTTCTTCTTTCTATTGTTAGGGCTGTAACAAAGTTCATCCCAGGGGTGATAAGCCACCATAGTTATTTTTTACTAGATATTTTTTTCAGGGATGATTATCCCTGAAAATATACATATGTAAATATAGATAGCTACAATAGCATATTAAGCATTGATTTATTTTTATCTCCGGTCACATTTATTGCTATCCACTAAAATTTCTGTCTTATTCTTTCTAACGTGCCTTTCTAGATATTTAATCATGTTTCTTTTCAAACACTCGTATTTCAGCAATACCTTCAAAACTGCGACTGTAACTTTGTCCTTTTAATTGGTCAGCTCATGTAATTATGATATTTGAAAGGCGTAATTCCGCTCATCCATTAGGATTGCAGCGCGCGCATTAATTGCCGCGGATTAATGGCCGCTGCAACTGAGCTTTAGAGAAACGGCGAGGTTCCATTTTGTAAAGGAAAATTAATTAAATAGACAATATTTATTCTGGGAATATGAGCAAAATTCTAGATGAAAAAGGGTTCTGAAAATTGGGGAATTTTCAGTAAGCAATTGCGGGTTTCTGAACAAGCATTAGGTATATTTTACAAAGAAGACCCTTTAAAATAATAAGCTCATTAAACAGTAATCCAATTATACAATAAGTAGGTACAGTATTCTATAATATGGTGTTGTTATATCACATGTGTGAAGGCTAATTGTGAAATTTGAGCACCTTAATTTTTAATTAGGCAGTTAAGATATTGATGCCCGTTTTCACCATCAATCCCTAATTTTTAAGTGACACTTAAGGTAACAAATAACAGGAATTTTGTGTTCATATGGGTCACTTAAAAAATAGGGATTGATGGTGAAAACGAGGCTAAGTCTTTCCATATTTTCACATATACTCCTTTTCATTTGCCCCAAATACGATGAACACTTTAGCAACCGTTTCTATTACAATTTGAGATTAAAAGTGCGATATTCCTCCAGCCAATTCAATTTTAAACCAAACATAATCCCTAATGGAACTGCAGCTCCCAATTCCAAACAAAAACCAAAGCACAGAGCTAGATGAATGCCCTCAGCAAAAACTGAACAGCTGAACTGCAATTAGCAGTTGGCGCTGAGCTATCTGCGCTTTCCCCGTGAAATGTCCGCAATGAAACAGTTCCTGTATTCATTTCGGACTTTTTACAGCACTCGGTCAGCTTATCTGTCTTCGGTGATCGGCAATTACAACGTGACCAATCAGTTTGAACTTTTGATTTGATGACTAAGGTTTTTTTAAATCAATCGTTACCTACTATCACTTCAAAGTACGGAAGGCGAAGATGTGGCGTTTTATGCCAGTTAAACTTTAGTCTAAAAAAAACTTAGGGCAGTGTTTTAAAATGCAAAAACAAAAATACAAATAAAAATAGTAAAATATTCCTTTTGTAATAAATAATAATAGTTTGGTTAATTCGATCATCATCATCATCATTTCAGCCATAGGACGTCCATTGCTGAACATAGGCCTCCCCCGTTGCTTTCCATGTTGATCTTGTGGGTTGACGTCCCACGCTGCGTTTCCCGGTACGCGGCCTCCATTCCAGAACCTTGCTGCCCCATTGGCCGTGAGTTCTGCGTACTATGTGCCCTGCCCATTGCCACTTCAGCTTGCTTGCAGATCTAAGCGTGAAGAAACCACGTAAAGTAAGAAACACATTTTAAAAGTCCGGTGTCGTATATCTTGCCCTAACTTAATTATA